GCGGGCCGAGCATGCACAGCGCGCTGTTCTCACCTGGCGAATCACGGTTTGCTGTGCTTGAAGCGGACCCGTCGGATGGACATGCGGATTTCCTGTCGGTTGATGGGTTTATGCAAAAGAACAAATCGACGACTGCACTAGGATTGCAAAGTATTCAGCATTGAGATATGGGCCTTTCAGACGAGGTCGAATCGCCCGGAGTTCATATGGTCACACGCACTACGTCATTTTTTCCACTTTCCCTGAAGTCGCCACTCGCGTGACGATATTTCTCCGTTCCCCGTGATCCGACGCGCGCGGTTTGTCCTCCGGCAGGTTTGTTTCCGAATATTCTGAAAGAACGGCTCGGAAGTGAATGGCGGCCTGCCGCAGGTGGTGGGTCGGGACGTCCACCTGAAGCGGTTCCAGGAGGACCTGGAACGATCCGTGCCAGACGTCAACTTCAGCGGTGAGTTGTGGTTTCTTCCTCGTGTCTCCTACTCTCTCTCTCTCTCTCTCTCTTCTCTCTACTCTCTCTCTCTCTCTCTCTCTCTCTCTCTCTTCTCTCTCTCTCTCTCTCTCTCTCGCACTTGCGGTCTCTCTCCGTTTCGTTTTGGGCCCAGTCGGTTTGCATGCAAGGTGATCTGACATGCTTTAGCGTGCGGGAGACATCAAACAATATTTTTTTGCGAAAAGCCCAATTTGGAAGACTTACATCGTGCTAATCAGCCTGTACCTCGAACACTGAACAGACTTATTGTGGCATATCGAGGGGGGTACAATTTACAACGTATTCATATCGAATATTTATTCGTACACACCAACATTGGGGGCAAGCACAGCTCTGTCCTTATTGCATGGGATTAAAATCTGAAAATACGCTCGTGCTCAACATGACGTCGAGTGTACGAACAATTGGAGCATAACCTTCAAATGTCATGGTATAGCCTCCGGGCAATAATAGGTTAAAAACGTAGTCACGCAGAACTCCGTCAAAACGCATTGGATCCAAATATGACAACGCTTACGGGGTGGGTCAGTGACGTCACGTTTATACAGCTTTCGTGATCTGACCTTTAAAGGTCACCGTATAGCGTCCAGGCAATCAGAGAGAAAACGCGCGGTCACGCATTACTTCACTGGAGGTTAGGCCAACTGAGGGCAAACGCCTGATGACGTGGCGAGTACGTTGTCTGATGTCACTGAGCACTGTTGTCAGATTTGGATCCGATATTTTACGGACGGAGAACTGTGGGACCATTTTTTACCTACGATTGCCTGGAGGTCATACGACGACCTTTAGAGGTCAGGCTGCTCAAGTTGTATGTACTTGATGGCGTGGCGAGCACGTAGCCATTTTCACGTTTGAATTCCATGCATTAATGGGTGAGATGTGCGTGACCGTGTTTTCGGCGTATATCAATATAGACCCGAATTTGGATGCGTGGTTAACTATGCCTGCACGTCAGATTATGCGAAATATAACCATTTGTCTGATGCGGAGCACTCACCAACGTAGCCACCGCCTCGTATGATTTTAACATATTACCGTGACATGATTCAGGAGCATGGTGGCGTCTGGTGTGGACTTTCCTGAAAATCAACGTGTATGTGGAAAGGGTGTGTGTGGTATCTGAGCCGAATGCATAAACACAACGTCCCACAGGTCTGCATTCACGTTCAGAAAACAATGTCGAGCCACTCCAATGCATTGAAGACTCCACCCCCAAAGCTCACACCTCGAAGCTGACGCTGAGCCCAGCATGACGGCGTGGGAGTGATCCCCTCCCCCACCAGGCGTGGGGGTGATTCGACTCGAGGGCTGGACGCCCTGGTTTCGCCGCGCTGGCGAGTCCCACTCAAAGCAGGCGGCGCTACAGCTGCGGCGGCAGCACCCGCAGTGGACGGACACCCGCGTCGCCGAACAGGTCAGACGCACGCGGACGGGGGGGGGGGGGGGCGGGTCACTGGGCAGGCCAGCCACGCTAGCACAGACGTGCGGGTGATTCAACGGGTTACGCGGATGAGCCGGCCGGTGAAGCGCCCCCCCCCCCCCGCCCTCGGTACCAACACCCGCGAACACTCGGTCAAGCCCGGGAGCGCTTGGACTGTGGTCTGTCTCCCAGGCTGAGAAATGATTTGAGCAGCAGCCTGGTTTTGAGGTCTTAAAAGACTTCGGGAAGTGTTCTCCGGACTCCAGGTGAGCTTCGGTCGTGACCCCTTTCTCCCGCAGTTTAGAAGGACCGTGGCGAGGACGCTGAGATGAGAGGCTCGGGAAAACTGTTGGTGATATGTTGTTGGTGTTGGTGTGGTCTTCCACTTACTCGGGAGGTCTTTGCTCCCCGGCCCCTAACCTCAGACCCGGGAGAAATTTGATCCATGGTTCGTGTTATCTTACCTCCGAGGACGTTCAGTTGTGATCCGTCTTATCAGACTCGGGAAGACTTGGATCCGTGTCCCGTGTTATCAGATTCGGGATGACTGACTGGTGACCGGTGCCGGCAGGCTCGGGAGGACTTTGACCCGTAACCGGTGCCGGCGGTCTCAGGAGGACTTTGACCGGTGACCGGTTCCGGCAGGCTCGGGAGGACTTTGACCCGTAACCGTGCCGGCAGGCTTGGGAGGACTTTGACCGGTGACCGGTTCCGGCAGGCTCGGGAGGACTTTGACCGGTGACCGGTTCCGGCAGGCTCGGGAGGACTTTGAGTGGTGGGCTCGCCTGTTCCTTCAGCAGACGCTGGAGGCGGCCGAGCGTGCCCGGCCGGCCGCCGCCTGGGGCTACTACCAGTATCCGCTCTGCAGGAACCTGCACATCCCCAACGGCACCTGTCCGCAGTCATTGCGCGACAAAAACGACCGGTCAGTGCTGCCATTTCGCGGCCGAGCCGAGCAGTAGTAGTGCTGCTGCTCACCGTTCGGTAAGAACTCATCCCCTTGTGGTCCGTCTGCTGATGGTTGTCGCGACTGCTGCACGCTCCTGTCTCCTGTGCCGGCCCGTTATACCCGCCCAGTACAATCCTGCACTCTACGTGCTGTCATCGCTGCTGGGTACGAGCTGCGTCTTGTACACTTCCGCCCACGTTTGTGTCAGTACCCACTCGTGTAAGCACGTTCTCATGGCAACTGCGTGCCCACCCCCAGCCTTTGGATCGGAAGTGGATTATTCCCATTGCTCCTGCCGTCCGCTGCAGGATGTCGTGGCTCCTGAGCTCCAGCAGCGCGCTGTACCCGTCCGTGTACCTGTTCCGGAACGGGTTTACGGACGCTGACCGGCGCGCCACGGTGAGGGGCCGCCTGGACGAGGCCCTGCGGCTAGCAGCCGAGGTCCCCGTCTACACGTACACCTGGTTCCAGTACCACGACGATCCCAGTTATCTGTCTGAGGTAAGCCGGCGCCGGTTTGGTTTGTAGGCGGGAGGTGCACTTGGGGCTGCGTTGTTAGGCAGATGAGAAGATTTTACTCAAACGTCTCGCTGGTCAGCATGTACGCGTAAGTGAAAGATTGCTGGGATGCCGCGACAATGCTTGTGAGCACACTCTCTGTTATACCCGCTGAGCTTGGGTGAAAATGCTGCGGCGTTCAGTGGCGCAGTTTAGATGATGGCGTTGGTGGTAGCGCCAGGGAGGCTGTACTGGACTTGTTGCACCCCCCCGCTAGCCTGAGAGTGCCCCTTCCCACCCTCCCGCCAGCCTGAGAGCACCCCTGCTCCTCCCTCCCTGCCGGCCTGAGAGCGCCCCTGCTCCACCCTCCCCGCCACTCTGAGAGCCCCTGCCCCACCCTCCCCGCCAGCCTGAGATCGCCCCTGCTCACCCCCACAGCCAGCCTGAGAGCGCCCCTGACCCACCCCCACAGCCAGCCTAAGAGTGCCCCTGCCCCACCCTTACAGCCAGCCGAGAGCCCCCTGCCCCAGCCTCCCCGCCAGCCCGAGAGCGCCCCTGCCCATCCTCCCCGTCAGCCTGAGAGCGCCCCTGCCCACCCTCACAGCCTGCCTGGGTGTGCCCCTGACCCACCCTCACCGCCTACCTAAATGCGCCCCTGGCACGGTCGCAGGAGGACCTGCTGTCCATGCTGGGCCAGGTGCGCACCCGTGGTCTGTCCGGCGCCGTCATGTGGGGCTCCTACCTCAACTGCGACTCGGCCGCCCAGTGTCAACGGCTGGACGCCTACCTGCGCGAGCGCCTGGGTCCGCTCGTGCGCCGCCTGGTGGCGCTAACGCCGGCCGAGGTGCACATGTGGCGCCGCCTGCTGGCCAGCCAACGCGGCCGACGCCTGCTGCGGCAGGCCCTTAAGTGGGAGGGTCCGGAGAGGGGCGACGGGCTCGGGGGAGAGTGGTGAGCAGTGTCGGACCGTGAGGCGGAGAGAGGGCGGGAGGAGGCTATACGCTCGAGAGGGGACGTTGAGGGTGGGAGGAGTCTTCTCTCGACAGAGGTTGGGGATAGCGATGGATAATTATCATAGATGCTTCGCTGGGACGACCAGGGCAGAAAAAAAGCATGCTATATCTTACGACCTTCGAAAAGACCATCGAAATTTAGGCAGATCATGGACGATGTTGGTTAACTGAGCTTCAGAAGTTCAGCACCGCTGGTATTAGAAGGCGTGCGTCTTCAGTCCTTCAGTCCAATCGCCAGTTCAGGGCGGCAGAGGGCAGACCGCCCCTTGGACCATCTCCGCCAGGAGCGAGCCGAGCCTTTGACGGGCAGGGGGCGACAGCTGTCTGGGACCGAGGACTGCGGGACGGCGCAAGGCCAGGCATGACCCTGCGCCCCGACCCAGGAGCGGCCCGGGCACGAGCGAACTCCGCGCCCCACGCGGGGACAGCGAACGTGAAGCTGTCTGCCCGGGCCGTTCCTGCTCACTTCGGTATCTGACCGCACGTTATTCGACCGCTGCGCCAATCCGGCCTACTGCACCGCTTACAGCTGTCTATTTGTTTATGACTGACGTGCAGAGGCGCCTGGTCGACCTGCAGCCGCGGCGCCCCGGCTACAGGATAGTTTAGAGATAGCATCAGACATCTGCGCGGACTGCTGCCGTCGATGTATCCGGTCCACGCTGGAATCGATTCAATAACCGAAACTGATGCTACTCGATAATCCATGTGTGTCGAGCTGCGTGAGGAGTTCTAACACGGAGAACGTGGCAGGTGGCACCGAGCAATAGGCCACTCACGCGCTTGAATGGGCGCTCACTAACTGCAGGAGCCGTATGGCATGGACGCTTGTCCCAAAATCAGACCTTAGGAACAACGAACTTCACAGACGCTTTCATATCCGAGAATGTATCGACATGCTAACGTGCGTTCCAAACATGTTTTCACAATGCTGACCGAAAGTTCTGCAGGAATGGATGTGATAGGTGTCTTCGCCAAAACATCAGCTCCGACGACCCTGACGCAACCAACAAAGGCACTGGAATTTCCCGTGCAATGGTTAATTCGTACTGAAACATTTCAACGCGCCACACAATGCCGTGCTACGATAAGGCCCTTCCAGCCCGGCTCCTCTCTTGGCCAGGTGCCAATTGGCCGGAAGTGACGCGAGCCAATGGGCGATTTGGAGTTGCCATCTCACACGCCTGCCAGGAATCGGTCTACGTTCGACTATAAACCAACTGATCTGTTTAGGCAGAGCAGCACGCGCCGTCTCACCAGCAAGGGTCCACAGAATGATCTCTGCACTGGTTTTACTTTTAAACACGCCACTCATAAAGCCATATGCAAGTTTGAGATCGTCAAACGGTCACACATACGCATGATTTAAAAAACGCATGCCACACCTACGACTAGACGAGGACTAGATTTGATCGATGAAAATGATATGATCGATCTGGACGGCTAAATCACACGATTCGCACGCAGAGAAGCGAGGTCCGTTTGTACACAACTTTGGACGGATGCATCCAATACCACGCCACTACCGGCCGTTCCATTGTGGGATCATTGAGACTAAACACGGAACGCAGAGCACAGAGCTCTGACGAAGCGATCCTGGGCGTTGAAGCAGACACAGCGGACTGCCCCCCCCCCCCCCCCCCATCTCACAATATGTCTTCTCATTGTCACCGCGACTGGAAACTTCCCACGTCGATGAAGCAAGCGAAGAAGGGCGACCAATGGCGGACTTTCTCGAGTCGCGCCCATTCAGAAACCAGCTTTGCCGCGACACCCGCAGGACGACCGTGGCCGGTGACACCACGATACTGGCACGTGCCTCTGACGGCGCCCAAAGATGAGCCAGCATGTCTGCGGGAAACTCTGATCGCGGCTACACATCACCACGCAAGACTAAGCTGAAACCGATCCGAACCACGCGAGCGCCCGTCGTCCACCGCGGCCCGCCCGTCACCGGCGAAGCCACAAGTGATGTCACAAGCCGGTCACTCCAAGGCACCGTCGCCGGGCGCCGCGGCCGCCGGCCACTGCAGACGCCCCTGCGCCCTGTGACGTCACCGACCGCGTCCGGGGTGTCACTGGACCAGGGAGGCGTGCCCGACGCCGGCCGCCGCCGCCGCGCCGCGCGCCTCGGCGCCGTCCGTCTCCGGCTGACGCCCGCTGACATAGCCCAGCCGCCGCAGGTCCTTGGTGAGCACCTGCAGCCGGCAGGTGACCACGCCCTGCGACCGGACCCGCATCACTGCCGCAGGGGACGCCCGGTCAGCGGGGGCACCAGCGCGTCACGGGCGGGGGTCACGGCGGGAGGAGGGGAGGGAGCGGCGCCATGTGCTGGGACGCCGACACTGCCACTAGTGCAGACCCCGGCAGTAAGCGAGTCGGACGGGAGCGAGCGCGTTGAGAATGCAGATTTCACATGCTTGACGCTTGTTTGGTTCGCACTGGATAATGGTGGGTCATGAGTCACAACCTTGCCGTGTCTCGAGAAATGGCTTTGGTTTCTGTAAAAGTCTATCCAATGGCTGAGAGCTGCGTGCAGCGACCATGAAACTCATCACGTAAGACGTGGAAGCCTAAAGCCAGTCGCCACGTACTTACCCACCAAGCAAGGGAGAATCGACGAACACAGGGTCGATGATAATGCTGTGATGCGTCGTAATCGCGTTACTAACAAACGTGTCAGTCGCAACACAATTCCGCGTCTTGTTTGCCTCACTTTAATTACATAGGGGTGATTTCGAAATTTCAAATTCAAACAAGCAAGCGGAACAATCTAAGACTAACACCGATCAAAATGCGATGCTTTGGGCCTCGCTCGCACAGCCAGTGCCGTAGCTGAAAGGAGCCTAATGGGGTCATCCCCCCCCCCTCCCCCTCCCTCTGGAGATGGCGTGTCCACCTGATGCCGAAGGCCGCTGTATTTTTGCGGCTTAAGGCGCCCGTATTGCTCCTTAAAAAACTCACTGAAGATGGGAGTCCCAGCCAAAAGGTCCTCAAAATTCAAAAGCAGGGCTCTTTTGCGGGAAAACGTCCCCTGAGCTGAACGGGCCCCTACGCCCGGTCCGCGCACGCACACATGTGCGCGTCACCTCACCCTCCCTGCCCTCGCCGAGCGCCAGCGTGACCGGGTCATCTCACCCTCCCTGCCCTCGCCGAGCGCCAGCGTGGCCGGATCATCTCACCCTCCCTACCCTCGCCGAGCGCCAGCGTGACCGGGTCACCTCACCCTCCCTGCCCTCGCCGAGCGCCAGCGTGACCGGGTCATCTCACCCTCCCTGCCCTCGCCGAGCGCCAGCGTGACCGGGTCATCTCACCCTCCCTGCCCTCGCCGAGCGCCAGTGTGACCGGGTCATCTCACCCTCCCTGCCCTCGCCGAGCGCCAGCATAACCGGGTCACCTCACCCTCCCTGCCCTCGCCGAGCGCCAGCGTGATCGGGTCACCTCACCCTCCCTGCCCTCGCCGAGCGCCAGCGTGACCGGGTCACCTCACCTCCCTGCCCTCGCCGAGCGCCAGCGTGATCGGGTCATCTCACCCTCCCTGCCCTCGCCGAGCGCCAGTGTGACCGGGTCATCTCACCCTCCCTGTCCTCGCCGAGAGCCAGTGTGGCCGGGTCACCTCACCCTCACTGCCTTCGCCGAGTGCCAGTGTGACCGGTCATCTCATCCTCACTGCCTTCGCCGAGCACCAGCATAACGGGTCACCTCACCCTCCCTGCCCTCGCCGAGCGCCAGCGTGATCGGGTCACCTCACCTCCCTGTCCTCGCCGAGCGCCACCGTGACCGGGTCATCTCACCCTCCTGCCCTCGCCGAGCGCCAGCGTGACCGGGTCGGCCAGCTCCGGTCGGCGGCCAGTGAACCAGGAAGCCAGCTTCTGCAGCTGTGAGGTCGACTCCGGTACGAACACGGCCATCCTGGGTAAACACGCAGTCAGTGGATCACTAGACACGGCCCCCCGAGAACACCATGAACATAAAACACGGCCATCCTGG